TCGAATGTAGGAAGAGTAATGTAGGAAGGAAAAGATTGGATTGCGCTCGATGCAAATTAAATCGGTCAACGGGATCGATTGTATGATAACTTGAGGCGATGAGGGGGCGTGTGAAAACGAGAGAAAATCCGTCGTCAATCTATTTCGCGATGCGTCCTATTCGAAATATTACGATCGAACGCGCGTGTACTCGGGATACCAATTTTAGACAATCTCTCTCTCTCCATCTACCGCGACGTTGTTTGATCGTTTCTTGGAATTAATATACAGTCTGTAGCAAAAGTGTTCGACTAACGATTCATCTTATTGGAATCATCGAAAATTGTGTTCTCAGTGAAAGTGTGTGTGCATAGAATATACTGAATTGTGTGTGAACAATTTTTTTTTATTCAAAATATTCGAAAAAGTGGAATTAAATATTGAAATTAATATACAGTCTGTCGCAAAAGTGTTTCTCCTAACGATTCGTTTTATTGGAATCATCGAAAATTGTGTTCACAGTGAAAGTGTATGTGCATAGAATCTAGTGAATTGTGTGTGAACAATTTTCTTTTATTCGAAATATTCGAAAAAGTGGAAGTAAATTTTTGGAATTATGGAATACAATCAATCGCAAAAGTTTCCATTCGACTAACAATTCGTGTTAAACGTTTCTTCATAATTTCACAATAATCGTATTTTCAATGGAACTTTGAAATTACAGTCAGCTATAAAAGTTTTCGTATTCAATTTCTTAGAATTGTCGTGAAATTTATATTTTTACTGAAATTTTTTATTCACGTATATATAGATATTATAAACTTTCAAATTTTTATAATTATCATTCGTTATATTATTCGTACTGTTATAAAGAAATTACTTCAATTCCATTCGAGATACGAGGAATGAGACGTGATTTGAAATTTTCATATTGGATGAATTTCTTATCAAGGTGAAGAAAATTTTTATTAAAGAAAAACTTTATTAAAGTTTATTAAGAAAAATTTTATTAAAGAAAAGCATTAAGAAAAACACTTTTTAATTGACTGTATAAATATATTCTCTGTTTAATTATTCCATTAATGGAATGGTGTTTATAATTGAATGAAATTGATAGCGAAATTGATAGCAGATTCTAAGTTTGTTCTGGTTTACCAATATAGCGTTTTAGATTCGTGGCAAATTTGAAACGATCGGAACGCATATAGTTCCCCGAAAGTTTATAATTTCGGATTGCGGTTTGTTTGAAGAGCAATGATGATCGAGATCGTGAATTTTCCAACATGTTCATGAGAATTTCCAAATTGTTTCGACGAAAGTTTCGTTCTGATAAAAAAAAGAAGAAAAAAAAATACATTTTTTAAAAAAATCTTCCGATTTTTCTATTATTCGAATGAAATTTATAAATTTGTCTCATTCGAAAATGACAGAATTTTTTCAAATTCGAAAACAAAAATTCTATTTTTCACTGTCCAATTTTATTGATTTTTTTTTTTAAATTGTCTTTGGTAATGACGAAATAGAGGAGGAGAGAATATATTTTTCTTCTGGCAATTTGCGTTTCTATTTGTTTTGCAGGAAGGAATCGAAGACAGAGAAAGGCAAAGTAGCTCAAGATCAGATTTCAAAAGGCAGAGTACAAAAGCTTCAGATGGCGCGGGATCCAGCACGCGAAGGTACTTCAACAATTTAAAAGCTTCGTCAACTTGTTTCTTCGTCTCACCTCCTATTTACCTAAAATTTTTCAAAGATTCTCGGCAAACTTTCCTTCCATTTGCTCATCACTTCGACATTTATAAAATATTTTCTTTCAATTTTTCCATCTTTTTTTTTTTTTTTTTTTTTTTTTTTTTT